CTGCCCCGGGTTTGCCACACGGTGTGGGGGGTTCACTCGAGGCAGAGACGGTTCATCTGCCGCTGGCAGCGTCCCCGCGAGCAGTGGGGTCCGAGGGCAGGCGGGAGCGGGGCAGAGCCCGTGGGGTGGACGGAGCGGGGTCTGTCGGGGCGACAGGCTCGAGTTTTTCTAAGGTGGGAACCCACGTTATCCCCAGTCTGTCTCAGCAACTGGTTTCAGCGAGCAGCGCTTGGCATCTTTCTTTCTGACTGCAAATGAAGTGTCACCTGAGGCGCTTGCGGGTCTCTCAACTGAAATAAATGTCTTTAGCTGTGTGACATATTTCCAGTGGCGCGGCCTCATCCTGACTGGAAAAGGAGGCTTGAGCAGTCACATCGAAGCAGGAGTGGGAAATAAATTGCTCTGGTGAGAAGCCAGGCAGGCACACAATGAAGATGCAAATCAGTAACAGCTCTTGCACAAGAAGGAGGTGATGGCCAACGCATCGGGGCTCAGGCAGCCCGGCAAACCCAGGGCCAGCGCCCGGAGCTCAAGTGCCAGCTGCGGTGACACTGAGGTGCCAATGCTGGAGCTCGGGTGCCGGCTGCGGTGACGCTGAGGGGTTGCTCTTGCTGTGGGCACAGATGAGCTTTTCCCTTTGCTGCCCTGGGAGCATTTAAATCCCTGTTCAAGGGCTCTAAAGAGCTCCAGGGGGAGGAGGAGGAGTGGGCAGCAGAGCTCTGATGGCTTTGGTCATGGACAAGGGAGACAGGCCGGGTTAGGAGCTCCTGTGCGTGGTTCCTGGGTGAGATCCCCTTTCTCCCACCCCAAGCCTTGAGCACAGCAACAGCCGTTGTGAGCTCCAGGGAACACCAGAGAGCTCTGGGTTTGCAGCACTCTTTGGACACAGCTGAGGCCAGAGGAAAAGCTGTCACAGTGGAGGCTTATGCCCCCACTCCTCTTTGTGTTCTCTTCATCCTGACAATCTAGCCAGGAGATGGAAGACCTGACTTGTCAGAGCAGACTTGATGCCAGCATTTTGCACTATAATCTGATTTTCCGGGACAGCTGCAGTCAATAGAGGCCGAAGCCTCAGAGCAAAGTGCGATGCTGGAGCCATCTGTAGGGTTTTTAACTAGTCCCTGTGCAGCAACAAGGTTGTGGTGGAGCATTTCCCCGGTGCTACCTGCTTGGAGGAAGGGGGTACGCAGCCCCAGCACCCCCCCGCAGGCTGTGACCGCTGACGCATGGGGACTTTTCCCCTCTCTCAGCCACGGTCGATGATGATGGAAATCTCCGTCAACATCCTCGTGTTCAGGAGCAAACAAAGCCAGCTGCTTATCGCTGCAGCATCAGGGCAACGCCGGAGGAGGATGGCCCCTTATCACGGGCGCAGCGGGGAAGCGTGCCTCGTTAATTCTGCCTTTATCAAAGGTCGTGTGCTCCAGTGCCTGCAGCAGTGCTGGTCCCTGCTGCCCCCGGCCCCCGAAACTCAGCCCCGTGCAGCGCCAGAGCTCAGAGCACTGCATCCATGAGTGCCGCAGGGAGAAGCATCTTCAGCAAGTTTCTCTCTTTTAGAAAACGTGTGCGCAGAGACACAGTCTGCTCAGAAATCGCAGTCACGCCTGGAGATGTTGCTCTTCATATAGTTACAGGAACTAATCAGATAACTGTAGCTGAAGTAAGGGGGATATATTTGCTAAAAATAGATTAATGGAACAACAGACGCCTGAAGATACGGCGTGCCTTGGGGAAGCAGGACTGCGGTATCTGGCAGGGCTCTGAGCGGGACTGGCCGTGACAGTGGCTATCTGTTAC